TCACCCCCACCCCACCGTGGGGTCCCCAAGGCACAGACGGACTTGGGGGTCGTGTTTGGATGGTTTATTGTCCCACCCGTGCCTACGTCCTGGGCTGGCCCCGGACCCCCAGGACAGCCCCAGCCCCATAGCGGGGGGCAGCGATGGGGGGTCCTCAGCTGGGGCTGACCTGGCTGGAGGAGACGGAGGAGACCTCGGTGCGCTGGGCCGAGCTGGAGATGTCCGAGTCGTCCGTCATGGGCCGCCCACACACCGTCTCCATGATGCAGGCGCGGAACTGCGGGGACGGGGACGTGCCACCTCAGTGTCACCTGGCCCCAGCCCCGGCCCCAGCCCTGGGACTCTCTTCTCATCCCTGATGTCACCCCGACCCCATCTCCTGTGCCTGGGAATGGGGAACCCCCAGCCCTGGAGATGGCCCCAGGTGTCCCCTGGTGTCCCCAGTCACTGGTTGGCCCTGGGTTGCCCTGGATGTCCTCATCTCCAGGTGTCCCCAAGTGTCCCCAAGTCCCTGAGTGGCCCTGGGTGGCCTTGGACATCCTCATCCCCCATCCCCAGGTGTCACTGTCCCCAGCATCCCCCGGTGTCCCTGCTCCCCAGGTGTCCCCAGCCCATGGTCATGCCAGTCCCTGGGCATCCCTGGGTGACCCTGGTCCCCAAGTGTCCCTGGTCCCCAGATGTCCCCATAGCCTGGGTGTCCTGGGTGCCCCCATCACTCAGGCGTCCCTGGCTGTCCCCATCGCCAAGGTGTCCCAGGCTGTCCCCATCACCCAGATGTCCCTGGCTGTCCCTATCGCACTGGTGTCCCTGTATGTCCCCATCACCCAGGTATACATGGATGTCCCCATTGTCCAGGTGTCCTGAGGTGTCCCCATCACCCAGATATCCCTGTGTGTCCCCATCAGCCGGCTGTCCTGAGATGTCCCCATCACCAAGGTGTCCCAGGATGTCCCCTGTGCCCAGGTGTCCCTGGGTGTCCCCATCACCTAGATGTTCCAGGCTGTCCCCATCACCCAGGTGTCTCTGGATGTCCCCTGTGCCTGGGTGTCCTGGGGTGTCCCCATTGCCATTGTCCCTGGATGTCCCTGTCTCCTGGATGCCCCAGGCTGTCCCCATCGCCCAGCTGTCCCTGTGTGTCACCTGTTTGTTCATGAAGCAGTAGATGATGGGGTTGTAGACGCAGGCGCTCTTGGAGAAGAAGGCAGGGATGGTGACGAGGCGCAGGTCCACGCCGTGGTTGCGGTTGTTCACCATGTACATGGCCAGCGCCGCGTAGGGCACGTAGCAGACGCAGAAGGAGCCCACCATCACCACCACCATGCGCGACACCTCCCGCTCCGCCTTCTGTGTCGTGGCCGACTCCTGCTGCTGTGCCGCCACCTGTGCCCGGCACGGGGGTCAGCTCCGGCCCTGGGACAGGGTCCTGCCCCCCAACCCTGTCCTTCTGCCCCAGCAGCTGTCCTCCAGCATCTCCCCATCTCTCCATCCCTCCATCCCTCCATCCCTCCATTCTCCATCCCTCCATCCTCCGAGTCTCCATCCCTTCAGCCCTCCTGCCTCTGTCCTTCTGTCTGAGCATCCCATCCTCCCTCCATCCCTCCATCCCTCCACCCAATCCTCCATCCCACCATCCTCTATCCCTCCATCCCTTCATCTCTCCATCCCTCCTGCCCTCCTATTCTCGATCCTGCCAAGAATCCTTCCCTCGTCCTCTCCATCCCTCCATCCTTCCATCCATCCCTCCATCCATCCATCAGTCCATCTCTCTATCTCTCCATCCCCCCAGCCAATCCTTCATCCCTCCATCTCCACATCTGTCTTTCCCTCCATCCCTCCAATGTTCCATCCCTCCAGCCAATCCTCCATCCCTCCTGCCCACCCTCCATCCTTCCATCTCTCCATCTCTCCATCCCTGCTGCCTTCCTACCCTCCAGCCTGCCAACAATCCTTCCCTCCATCCATCCCTCCAACTCTCCTTCCTTCCCTCTATCCTTCAAATCTTCCATCCCTCCCCCCCTCCAGCCAATCCTTCATCCTTCCATCTCTCCCCCTCCCCACTGGGGCCATCCCTCTGTCTCTCCACGTCTCCATCCTTCCTGCCCTCCTGCGTCTGTCCTGTCCGAACAGCCCATCCTCCCTCCATCCTCCATCCATCCATCCATCCATC